ATCAAAGCTTTTGGTAAAGTATTCAATGGCATTCTGATTTACAAGACAGTTCAGTGTGGGTTAGATGGTGTGGGAATTACATGGATACATAGCTGGCTGAAAAGTGCATTTATCAATGGATCCTCATTGCATTGGGAATGCCCTATTGACTAGAGTGCCACAAGATTTGATGCAGAGTTCTTGCTCTTCCACGTTTTTATTAATTTGCATGACGAAGTGGAAGAAATACTTGTCAAATTTGCAAATGATACAGAAGTGGTTTGGATAGGCAACACGTTAGAAGACATGAACTAAAAATGAGAAATGATCTTGATAAAGAAATGTGTTGCAAATAAGATTTTTTTTTTACATTTAGGGCAGAAATAAAATGGAGAGTTTAGAATGGGCTTGGTCACTGTACATGTGAAAAAGATAGTTCTTGTATAAAAATATCTTGCAAAGGTATTTGATTGCAAGCAACATATTTCAAGAATGTGATTATCTACAAAATAGGCAAGGGAACTTAAGACTGCATCGAGAAGTAGAATTACTCCCCACCCTCCAAAGAAAAATCCAAGAAAATATAAAAGTTCCACTTTATTCTGCCTCAGCTACATTACTTCTTCTGTATTGTGCCAAGTTTGGAGAAACTGGAACAGACTCAAAAAACAAGGCACAAAGTCCATAGAAATCAAGTCCTATGAAAGGAATTGAAGGAACCTCCTAAGCGTATGATAGCATTCATGAAAAAAACTGAAATTTTGCATACAGGTCAAGATCTGTTCTTTCTTTGAGGACATAGATTAATGGATATAGGAAGACAGGTAGAAGCTGAACTTCTAGGGGGGGGAATCATCAAAGTAACAGCAGTCCAATAGTGGAGCCAATTTTTGGGTTCCTCTTCACTATCAGTATACCCTTCAGTATCTACTAGGAATACTCTTGTATGCATATTGCATGTCTGCATTAAACAGGGGTTGGGTTTGTTGAACTAAAGTCCTATGAATTGGGAAATTCTGGAAACTGAAATCCACATTTCTTTGCATTGCTGAGATTGAGAAACACTAGCCTAAATGGTCTTTCTATGTCTCTGTCTTGTGTTTTTGTGAAATATTTTTAAATCAATTTTCTTAGCTGTTACTATTATGCATTGAATTTGCCTTCTCCCCCCCCCCACCCCCAACTAGGGAGTTGTAAAGAAATTATGTTTCTCAAAGAATGTAGAATGCTGAATCCTTCCTACAGTGTATATGACTACCTTTCCATGACACAGAAGCCAAAATGGCCATTTTCCTATTATCGCCAGATAGGTAATAAGGCAATTGCTCTGTTACTTCTAATAACTTTCACAAATGTGATGAAATAAGGCTTCAGAGCTATAGAAAAATGTCATACATTCCATTAACTGAGTAGTCAGACAGGCAAAATGCTATGTTTATAAATTCAGCCATCATAGTCATGCGTTCATACTTTTTGAATTTATTGTAATAAAAGCCAAAGTCATAAAACATGATCACAAAGGCTCTTTCAGTCCACCTTGTGTGAATTTCAATGGCCTCTTTATAAGATTAATATTCAGAATACATCTTTTCCACGCATGTTGCATTTGGTTTGACAACATATCTGAATACTGATTTTTACACACATTACTTCAAGAGATTCATGACAAGTTATCGGACAGGACTCTTTCATGCTGTTAAACAAGGAACTTTCTCTCTCTTTCCCTACCAGCCTGGACAGCCTATGCGAGATAAAACATATATCATTTATTTTGTATCTTGTTAGTATTTACTTCTAATCTGAAGCAGGGAAGTTTTCAAACACCTTAAAATAATAGCAACATAAAAAGGAAAACAAAGTGTTAGACGTTCACCATAAATAAGGTGGTCCCTCCTATTGCTTTTGTTTTGTAGAGACACGATATTGCTCCTGTCTGTGTCACATTTTCAGAGCAGCTCAGCCTTGATAAGGAAGCTCACCTAGAGCTAAACATTACATGACTTACAAAGTACACAGCTGATCTATTGAATTTTGCTCATTCTGAAGCAGGGAAAGACAACAGTAATCTTTGAACTGCATGTGGCCTCCAAGGACTTTCGGGGAGCCTCCAGAGAGCTCTCCTATGTCATTGCCCAATTTACATTAACTTCAATTGCTGGTTTGTGGTAGCATTAAACATGTAACAGAATACAGTAATTTAAGTGAAACCTTTAAAAAAAATCCTTCTGTTTCTTATTTCCTGCAATCTTTCAACAAACCATAGGCAGAGAAATATAGAGGCGTACAATGCCAATAATTTAAAAAGTAGTGATGTAGTTGAGTTGAAATCTGCCTTTTAATATTCAGGCATATGGTATGAAAGAGACTCTCTCATGTTTGCTTTGATTTGCCTTTTACCTGTATATTAATTAACAATAGCAGTGTTATTATTTTCTGTTAACTATTTTATTGTGTTCTAAAACCTCGCTGGTTGCTTATACTTCCTAATGTGTAAAAAGTTTCATGGCAGTTTTCTTGCAATGTTTTTTTTAAAGATTTAGTTACAACAATGAAAGCTGGGGAAGTTGCAGACCAAGAAGAAATGACTGTAGATAGTCTTCGACTTACGACCATAGTCGGAAGCAGACTTTCCATTGCTAAGCAAGGGGGCTGAGTGCATCACACCCAATTTTATAATCATTTTTATCATGGTTGTTAAGTGAATTACTACCGTTGTTAAATTAAATGTGTCGTTGTTAAGTGAATCTGGTTTCCCTCATTGTCTTTGCTTTTCAGAAGACAGCTGGAACATCACAAATGGTGATCACATGACCTCAGGATGCTACAATGATGTTAAAAAGATGCTGGATTTTGATCATTGTTACCATGGGGATGCTGCGATGGTTTTAAATGCAAGGACCAGTTGTAAGTCATTTTTTTCAGAGCTGTTATAACTTTGAACAGTTGTTAAGTGAATAGTTGTAAGTCGAGGACTACCCGTGTAATGAAAGACAGGATTTACATAAATACCTCTGGCCACCTCAGAAAAAAAAATAAGCACAAATATAATCATGCCCCACTCATGAGAATTTCAATAACATTTGGAATTTAAAGAATTAAAAGAAGTTCTCTTTCATGAAATTGAGTGACAACTGGTAGAAAATCCTGCAGGACATTTTTCTTCAAGATGCAAGTAAATAACGGTGATAACAATGACAGCATTAACAATGAAATGTTGATAGTATGAATTATGGCAATATTATTGAAATGATGATACTATAATACTAGCAGTATTGGAAAAATAACTGTAAAGGTATAATAACGCTAATCACAACAGCAACCATTAGAATAACAGTGATTATTAGTTCGTATTTTTGGCCCTGACATTTTGGCCCTGTTTATTTCTGGAAATATAGTCCTGACCCCAAATATTTGTCCCAGGGTACCAGGAGAGGATGGTTCAAATTGGATTATGATCCATCCTCTGTCAATTGGAAAGGATGAAAACTTTTCTTTCCTCAGTTGCCTCATTTTAAGATTCCCTCAGTATTGGATATAAAATAAAATCATTTATTGGTGTGCCAATGCTAATTGTTTTTGTTTACTTCCTGTGGGGAAAGTTATGAGTCAGAAATAAAGCAACTGGTGGAAGAATAAACAAATTGATCTTGTAACTTGTAGAAGGCCCCAGAGCAACAGTCACAAATTCAATTGCGTACTGCAGTATAAATATAAAATAATTGGCAATTTGACCCCTGTTCCAACTTCATATGATAAATGATAATCATTAGCTTTCCATGGAATAACTGGAATTAATTCTGACTGGTCAATATTTTATAGCTGCAGGGCACATAACTTCATATGACTGCCTGTTACATTCAAAATCTCAAAGTAACAATAAAAACAGATCTTTTCTAACCACAAATCAATGATCAGCTTACTTACTGCTGAGTTTTGGTAAATGCTAAAGCTATTATCCATAAAATAAGAATTATTGAGTACAAGATCTATTCTATCAAAATGCCCTGCCACTCTTTGTTCTGATCCCTGGTCACTTTGAAGAAAATGCTCAACACCAACAGTTTCAGAGGTGGATTATAACATAATGACCAAGGAGCAGAACAGAAAATATTACCTTCATAGCATTACTCCACTTTATAGTAAATAACATTTTTATTGTCCACAATAAAGATGCAGTGGCAGCAACAGCAGTGGCTGCTATAGGGGAAAAAACATCTTGGATGTCTGTTTCCCCTCCCCACCCCCCCCACCCCCAAAATCAGTGCAATGCTGTAAAATAATAAAGATGCAAAATATTGTAGAAATAATCTGCTTGGAATCAACATATCTTCTCACACACCTATATTTCTGGTACTTTGCGCCAGAGATTCTTCCCATATACTACACTTAAAGTGTTAAGACATGTATATGTAGCAAATATGTGGGGTATCTACGACACTTTCATAGCCTTGCTTCTGCAGTAGTCATGGCAAGGAAGCCATGCACAAAACTTCTTGAGCTCTTTTAACGGAAGGGGGAAGCCCTAATATAGACAGTGGGTGCTACTATCTAACACTATCAACCCCTTAGCAGTGTCTTCTTTAGCATTGGTTCTCTGAGATGACTTAATATCTGATTCTGAAAGCCAGAATGCAGGTTGTCCTTGAAAAAAATGGATAAGTAATCTATTGATGCCAACAATTTTTTATGTTCCTTTGATAGTGGAACAATTAAATGATAATATATCCAGCTAGGAAAAAGCCTGCCTGAAAGATAATTGTTTTGCATAAACTCTCCACATACTCTATTATGTGGGTTAGCAGAAGAAGAATAGCAATCTTATTTTACAAAGCACTCTCAGATAAGCAGAGAAATTCTGTTTTAAGTTAAGTATTTTAAATAAAGAATTACACTCGTAATTAACAGTAAAATCAAATATAGAAAAGGAAGAGCTGAATGCATGTTAGAGTGTTAAAGAAACAATGAGAATAGACTAGTAAGAAAAGGGTGGGCAAGGGGACAGAAGTGATATAGGAACCTACCTCTGATGCCATGAAACCAAAATCAATATATATCAAAATCCTGAGGTCCAAATAATGGAACTAAAGATTTCCAAGCCATCTTTTTCTGGTCACTGGAGGACTAAGCCTTCTGCTTAGTTGACTTTACAGCTGAACATTCCATACTGTTCTACATGAAAACCTTGTTGCACAGTGAACACTTCTGCTTCCTTGGTCCTTAGAAATTCATTTGCTTTCTTTTTCTCTTTTCATTTCCCAGTACACAATTCCATGCACAGTTGAACTAGACAGAAAGCAAGGCACATCACTTCCGTCTCCCAGTGGATCCCCAAGTTCCGTGAAAAAGATAGAATTATCAGCCACCAGTCCAGCTTGATTGGTTTTTCTTCTGTTATGGATAAGCTGTGAGTGACTCCACAGTTAAGCTGACATACAGACGATACGCACACACTTGCGGGAACATCTTTTTCCCCCTTTTTTCCTGTGAGGATATCGTTTTCCCTTTTGCAAAAAAATGCAAGCAAAAGAAAAAACAGGATTTTCTATTGAAGGTACAACTCTTCTTCAATATGAAGACATTAACTGGATTGGTCTGGATCCCCCATGCAGTGGTCAGTGAAGTCCTTTGTAACTGATGGCACAATGTTTTGATGTTCTTATCTGTAGGAACTGTTGAACAACATTTGCCATAGTTTATGAGCCAAAGAGGGAAATGGGTGGATAAGAATGACTCTGGAAGAAGAACTAAAGAAGAGAAGGAAGGGAATCTGACTGCTGAAGATTGTTGTTCTGGTTGCCTCTTTCTTCTCCATTGGCCTCTTGACTACTGCTCACTGGTGGTAGGACTGAAGTCTCTTTTCTTCCCAAAACACATTGGTTTTCTTCACTTTTTTTAAATATTTGATCTGTACATATTTATACTTATTTATATTCTGTTTCCCATGGCATCAGTAAATGTGCTTCTGTTGGTGTGAGAAACATAATTTGCCATTTAGAAACAAATTCCATATATTCTTTGTCTGCAGCGCATAAGAGTTCTCAAACAATTATCCAATCTCTATAGACATCACTGCCTTGTCAGCCTCCCCTCCCCTCCCACATCCAACCCTCTTCTGTCCTCCCCTCTTTTTTCCCATTGTTGTAAGAAGACACGCAGCATCATGCCATCGCAGTTGGTGACTGGCTCATCTGTACTCTCATAGACTGGACACTGCTCAGGATCTTCTTCTGGTGTCCGGCTAAAGTCACCCCTATTCTTAGAAGATCTCTGCAAAAGATAAGAGACAGGATCATACTTGTGGAGCAGAGGTCTTTGTCTCCTCTGCTTTATATGGACAAGATACATGAGCTGGCAAATTCAAAATGCAGTTGCAGAAAGTGAAGCTGTTATCCTAAGATGAACAATCAGCACTGATAAAAGATGTTGAATGAATGTATATGTGCATGATTCAAAAGAGTAGTTTTTCTCAAACCCATAACAAATAGATGCTTAAGTAAAGGATCAGAGACTTAGTTTTCACTTCCTTGAAGATTCTAACTTCCCAGGTGTCTTGAGATGATAAGCTACTCTGTTGTTACAAATGACGATAATATAAGCAAGGAGAAGAATTTCTGAGAAATGTCTAATTTCTAAATTGACTGGTCACTACATGAATCCTGTATACTAATTGGTAGAGTTGTTATAATCTCTGAATGAAAGGAACAATGTGAGACACTCCCAGTTTATGGATTCAAATTTCTCAGAGATCTGGTTGGAAGCTGGCAGCTTGTTAGTGAATTCTAAAAACTATAAAGTGCTGATTGAAGAGAGTGTGAAGATGCATGACATTGATGAATATATAGTATGGCAGATGCAAGGAACTTGTGAGAATTTCCAGAGCACAAAAAGATTATGGAGGCACACAGGCCTGCAAAGAGAAGCAAAGGAAGATTGTGAAAGTGCTTTTGGGTGGAGGCATGTTGCCTTGCAAGTTATGAATGATCTATTTTCCTGACTTTTATATGTGTTTCTCATTGGTGATTTTTTATATTAATTCCAAAAGCAGTTAATAATAAATAAAACATTCATTAAATAGTTTAAATAAAGTCATCTAAACAAAAACAAACCAAAATGACAAAAATCCATTTAAGAAATAAGCATAAATTTTCAAAGGCCAACCAAAACAATAATCAACAGTATATTTCTGCCTGTTTTCAGAAGATTAGCATATTCCTGGTGCCAAAATCCTGTCTCTGATCCAGATTTAGTTTGTTGATTATTTGAAGCATGAAAAGAAAAGCTTGATCTCATCTTCTTCCATCACTGAAGCAAATAGGGAAATGAGAAGGTGCCACTTACTCCGATGTCATTTGTGCAACTAACTGAAGGGATGTGAAGCCAGCAGTTAGAAAACTGTCTCTGTACTGGTTCATTTTGATGGCACTCAACCAATCTTCTACTGAGGTAAAGGCAGTGAAATCTGGGATGGAGCGATCCAACAGTGGCTGAGAAGGCCTGGAAGAGAAGGCAAGCAGTGGGTCAGAGATGGGATTTAATTTTAGAACAGAAATATAGACAGCAAAAGAGTTGCTCCTTTTATTCCCTTTCCACTGATTTGCTTGATCTTCTGCTACTGTTCATTTGAAACTGGAGCTGATCCAGTGATTAAATTCTCTGAAGTCTACTACTGATTCAGTGAGTTTGCTACTGAGCGCGCGCCTGAAGCGTGCCCGTGCAGTGCTAAAAAAGGAACATTTTGAAGCTTTCCAAGTCTGCAAAGGGAAGTAGAACAGCAAGGGGAGGGGGAATCTGCTGTGCCACACAATTTAGATGAGCTAGAAAGCAAGAAATCCAATTATTCTAGCCAATATAAATTGTGTGTCACAGCTGATCGTCACCCAGCTGATCATTGGAAATACTAGTTCACCCGAACTAGTAACATTTTTTACTATCTGTTTGGATGAACTGGTCCGAACCGGTAGCACTTCATCCCAGAGCTGATCTGGTAGTCTTCTAGACAATACTATGATTATTATAAATTGATTGGGCAAACTGGAATGAGCAAGCATTTATTTAAATCGGTGGAACTGAAGTAAATGCAGTTACTGATACTTTTGGTATTTCAACATTCTTGTAATTGTAAGTGAAAAAGAAATCCTGGTTATTTCTTGCAACAGCAATTAGAAACATTCATTAATCAAACTATAAATTATCTAATGCTATTTTGTCAGAAAGGAACTTATAAAGAGGTTTGGTATTTTGCACATCTATTTAAATTTAATGTATGTATTAAAGAGGGATAACTGATCCTCCAGGTATCCTTTAACTAGCTACAGCCTTATTTGTAAATTTCAATATGATGTTTTAGGCTCCAATTAAAACATAGTAACACATGTGGAAACTTACACAGCGGTGATGGTAGCCACAGTTTTGAGGCTCGCTGGATTTCGGATCATTTTATCTAAAGTATTAACTATTTCAGCAAACCGTGGCCTTGTGTTGCGGTCTTTTTGCCAACAATCTAACATAAGTTGATGTAGAGCAGCTGGACAATCCATAGGTGGAGGGAGCCGGTAATCTTGCTCAATTGCATTAATTACCTATAAATGTAATATACATACACATATAATGTGTGTCAATGGAGTAGAAAGAAATATAATTCTGAAAATCACTGCAGTTAAAATAATATTTTAATCAGAATGTCGCTTAAACCATTGCTACACATGCATAACCTTCCATATTTTTCATATTATTGAGTTTTTGAGTGGTTGATTCCAAGTCCATAAGCATAAAAAGAACTGAAAGTTCCAGGATTTAATATTCAGAAGTGTTCTCCATCTTTCTCAGAATTTACTATTTATCAAAGATAGATTTATTTTCCCATGTCTGACATAAGGGCTATGTCCCAACAACTACCAAGGCCAAATCCCCATCCAAAGGAAGAAAACAGAAAAGAAAATAGGTAATACCTTAATAAGCCACCATGAAAATATTAATGAATTTTACAAGTGAATCAAATTTGGCATGTTTTATAAACATGTGTTTTGGCTTATACAATAATGGCAATGAGATAGAACTTTAATCATATTGTTCATTATGCTAGTAGCAACTATCATGTGGGATAAATCATCTAACTTTTGACTATGGCATAGAAACTTAAACTTAAATTTTCTGTGATTGCCAGGATCCTGATCTTAATCAGACCCACTTATGACACTTATTTGCTTTAACAGGAAAGCTTTCACTGGCACCATTGGGAATTCAATCACAATGCAAAAATAACAACTTTAGTGGTACAAATTGGCATATACCTCAAGATGCTCCTTCAGCTTTCTCCTAACCACAGTTGTAAAAAAGCTTTAGTAAGGCTTTCTAAGAGATATAGTGACTCTGTGGTTAAGAAGCTAAGCTTGTCAATCAGAAAGGTCATCAAATCCCTAGTGGCAAATAACGAACTGAGCTCCCATTACTTGTCCCAGCTTCTGCCAGCCTAGCAGTTCGAAAGCATGTAAAAATGCAAGTAGAAAAATAGGAACCACCTTTGGTGGGAAGGTAACAGTGTTCCGTGCACCTTTGGCATTTAGTCATGCCAGTTGCATGATCATGAAGACATCTTCAGACAGCACTGGCTCTTCGGCTTTGAAACAGAGATGAGTACTGCCCCTTAGAGTTGGGAACGACTAGCACATATGCTCAAGGGGAACCTTTACCTTTACCTTAAGGATTTCTATTGTTTGCTTATCTGGACTGAAATACATACTATGGAATATTTTCAATATTATGAACTCAAAACTAGATTAAACCAACCGGAATTCCAATCCAGCAGTCCTACCCTTTGCACTTCTACCTTCTTTACTTTAAAAAATGGAGCCCTTTTAAAGTTGAATCATTTCAGCACACTAATAGCATGCAATCAGATATAAAGGAAATAGCTTGCCCTCTGCACACAAGGAGCAACAAAACAGTGCTGGCTCTGGAAAAAAAGGGTATTCAGAGGTTAATTTGTCTTCTGTTGCTTCAAGATAAAGGGAGTCCCTTCCCTGTTAGCAGCCGCTACAATTCACAGTTTCTGCCTGTCATGCTGTAGTGCAGAACTTCATCAAGGCTCAACGCCTCGCTCATAAAGTCTCTGAAATATTTCAAAAGCCTGCCAGGCTCTTAGTGTCCAATTATCACACACTGGCTGGCTGGTCTTTCCAGTTCCTCTCCACTTCTCCGTTTCTTTCATCTCTTGATGCTCTTTCTTACAGTAGACATTGAAGGGGAAAGAAACAGCAGCAGCAGCAGCTGATGATTTTGTATCTCCCAGTTAGTATTGCCAAGTGTCTCTCTATAGCTCAGCATGCAACGGGGTCGGAGCCAACAAGTTATGTCTGAAAGGGACTAGTACATAAAGCAGACATCCTCACTATGCTCAGAGAGAGAAAAGTGTGGTTTAACAATTACAGATGGGACTCTTTTTAAAACTGCATGTGCACAATACATGTAAAAATGTTACTATATAGTGTAATGGATGATTGGTTGCTAAGTTGTTAAGGAACGTATTTCTTAACTCCAGTCTTCATTGCAAGTGGAAATGGGATTACGCGCCCCCCTGCCCCCACTTCATAGCCATTAAGGTGAAACTGGACTGGTCAGTCCTAAACAGAATAAAGTTGCTGATTACACAACAGCAATAGCACTTAGACTTATATACTGCTACATAGTGCTCTACAACCCTAATTAGGCAGTTTTAAAAGTTAGTATATTGCCCCCAAAATTTGGGTCCTCATTTTACCAATATTGGAAGGATGGAAGGCTGAGTGAACTTTGAGCCAGTGAGACTCAAACTGTGGGCAGTCAGCAGAATTAGCCTGCAATACTGCATTCTAACCACTGTGGCACCCTGGCTCTTGTGGTTATTCCATATGGGAAAATCTAAGAGAGTTCACACTCTTGACGGTGCACTTGAATGGTATCAAAATAAAGCTTTTTACATAGCGCAGCTATCTCATTCATCACTGGTGAGAAAGATGGAGGTCACATCATAGAGCATGGTAGAAAGAAGTGTCTTAGGAGTTAGAGCTTTAGTTGGGGAAAATATTTTCCTCATTTTCCAAAGCCATTACATCTATAACTAAAAATAACTCCTGTATTCTGAAAAAGTGCCTGCCTGAAGGCATTGAAGACCCATAACAGGCAAATATCCTACTTAATATGGATAAGTTTGAACATGAAATACATGAAAGAAATGCATACATCTAACATGCTGGCTAGTGATGGGAAGGTATTATACAATAATCTGCTACAAATTTCCTCCTAGATATATAGGTGTATTATTTCAGTCTTCAGTATACTTGTATTTAATAAGTGATTTTTTCCACTGCTAGAGAAATCAAGCAAAGTTTTACTATGTTGTACAGAAGGCTTCATAAACTTACATCTTGATTGGACATGTCCCAATAGGGTCTTTCTCCAAATGACATTACTTCCCACATAACAATTCCATAACTCCATACATCACTGGCGGAGGTGAATTTACGGTAGGCAATAGCTTCTGGTGCTGTCCATCTCACTGGAATTTTTCCACCCTGAAAGACATTAATTATGAAGGTAAGCAGTGTAATATACCAAAGGTTACCTGTATAAAATTTAACTTATTTAATAGATAGGTATTTATCTAAATCTATTGCAATTTCCAATAGCAGCATAGTCTTAGAAGGAAGGGAATTCAATTTAATGATATGTTCCAAAGATGGGACACATTTTTCCTTCTTTTTCTTGCATATGAATACAGACATTTGTTGAATATTGCTCTTAGGCTGATTAACATATTAACATTCATGAATTACACTGGAGTCTGTTAAAGGGTTATTTCATCAGTACAAGCATACTAATACCAATAGCAGATTTTTGGTGTCGGACACGATTCCAACCCACCAAATTGTTTCTTTATGATGAAGAATATATCTTGTGTCCTACTTTCCACCACTACCACCACCACCACCACCATTCTTCTTCTTCTTCTTCTTCTTCTTCTTCTTCTTCTTCTTCTTCTTCTTCTTCTTCTTCTTC